TTCGTCGCGTTGTGATGACGTCACATACACGATTTCGTCGACCGCGCTTTTGTGGAACGCGGTTTTGACGGGTCACGTAAGACACACCCAGATTTTCACCCTCTTTTTTGGGGGGAAAGGTGTATCTTATGCTCTGAAAAATATGGTACATCACCAGCTCCTTTCTGAGTTAACGCAAGAAGAACATTTTTGTTTTGCCCTTTTAATGATGATTCTAATGGCCCTTTTCAAATCCTGGGAGATTATAAAACCCAGAAACTTGAAGGTCCCTACTGTTGATACTGTGTTGTTTAATACTGTAAGAGTTAGAAAACTGCAACCTGCTACCTTTATTTTCTGCACTTCTCTCAAAACATTGCATGCTATCTATTCTGATGTTTGCCTTTTTTTTTCAGAACATGATATTCAGCATCCATAATTTTTAGGGGGTACATAGGCATTCTTGGGAACAAATATGTTGGCAATTGCTTATTTTCCATGCTGAGTAAAACATGGGATGGGGGAGAGAAAAATTACAAAGGGGTATCTTCAAAAATAACCCACCAATTTGCAATTATCCTTAAATGTACAACCTCCACTAATATGGAGGTTATGTAATTTTCAATTGCCATTGTAACATCTTGTAGGAAGGATTAGCATTTCTCCTTCAAAGTAGCAATTGCTGATCATAAATGTTCTGTTAAATAACTGGGGAGAAGTATTGACATTTTGCCACCAAAAGTGCCACATACACAAATATACTTACCTGCACAGTGCTTGCAGATCACCACACACAAATTGATGGAAGCCCAGTCAGGGTTTAGTGCATGGCAGTCAGCACAGAATCTGTTAGCTTTGTTAGACCAGATCTTCTCGGCTACCTCATAATCATACAAAGTCTCAGCAATAGAGTTCTGAAGCACTTCCATCCATTCTTGCTTCTCTTGGTCAGACTTGGCTCCAAAACTAAGGAAATGCATGAAATTATGTAAGGCCTAATCAAAAAGCAAGACTATTATAAATACTCTTCTTGCAGCATCACAAAACATTTCAAGGTTGATACTGGTGATGTAATAATTTAACAAATTGTCCATTAGTATACAAAGAAACTACCTTTGTATTTGTGTTTACACGCTAAATGTCTGAAATGCTTTGTCATTCCAACCAAGGTGATGAATTTCTACAATGTGCATTAATTCCCTGTCTCAGGTTGGAGAGAATAAAACCCAATTCAGACAGAGAGCATTCAGCTCTCCTGATGCCATTCAAATGGTGTTAGATATACCTAAACATATGCATCTGCAGGAAGAAAATATGGAAACCAACACAAGTACTGTATGAATCTATGCATGAAGATGTTCCTCCTGGATGCAGTTGCACAGAACATGAAGATGTTCGCATGAATCTGACTATATATATATATATATATATATATATATATATGTATGTATGTATGTATGTATGTATGTATGTATGTATGTATGTATGTATGTATGATGTATGTACGTACGTACGTACGCACACATACATATATATATACACACACACACACACATTCACACACATACACATACANACAAGCAACATGGTTATAGTCATATGCGGAAAGAGATAGATACTAGGAAGGAAGAGAAGAATAATAGTAATAGTCTTAATAGGTAATATGACAGTGTTGTGGGAATTACCGTCTTTTTCGGAGTATAAAACACCCCCTCCCCAAAAGAGGCTGAAAATTTGGGTGCATCTTATACTCCAAATGTAGCTTTATGGGAGCTTTTTTTCAGCCCTAATGGGATATTAACGAGTGAAGTGATCTTCCATTTCAGGCAAAGCATGGAAAAGTGGAACATTGTGTCACTTGTTAACATCTCATTAGGGCTGAAAAAAAGCTTAGAATATTTTTACTGCAGCATACTGCTGGAAAAATTTCCCGGTTCGTTCTAGCTGGGAGAAGTTGACAATGAAAGATTTGAAGACTGCCTTAAGAGGTACTTCTTTTGTACAGTTTCTATTTTTGGGAGATAATCCTCCTAAGGTCAAGGCAGAGAGTTCCTGTCACTATGTGATTTCTATTATTTTGGGGATAATCCCTTTAAGGGCAAGGCAGGGGTTTTTTTGTATCAGCGCTGGGCTGGTTTTCTTGATTCAGCTTTGCTACATTTTTACAGGTGTGAAGTGCTTTTGACTGAATGCCGAGACGTCTAGTTAAGCTTATTAAGAGTTTCCCCAGCTGCCTGGGGAAAGAAAAAAAGTGGCAAAAAGTGTCATTTTATTATATTATTGTGTTTGCTTGCTTTTCTGGTGTTACAGGAATAAAAATGAATACCTGTTGGCAGAAATATGGTAGTGGTTTAGCAGAGTGATGGCATGAGGGGAAAAAACTGTCTTTGTGTCTAATTGTTTTGGCATGCAATGCTCTATGGTGGCACCCTGAGAGGAGGAATTGAAACACTTTATGTCCAGGGTGTGATAGGTCTGCAGATATTTTCTCAGCTCTCTTTCTGACTTATGCAGCATATAGGTCAATGGAAGGCAGGTTGGTTGCAATTGTTTTTTCTGCATCCCTAACTATTCATTGAAGTATATATATCCTCAGTTGGAGTGGGAAAATAACCTCTCGTGATTGGTTGTGGGCTGATCAGCTTCCCTATAAAAGGAGCTGTGTCAGCCAGGGAGCAACAGTTGCCTCACAGGCAGTATGGAATAAAGAGCTGTTAGAAATCACTGGCCTCACCTCCATTCTTCTCCCAGAACATAACACTGGTGACGAGGATGGGATCGATTGGAAACTGAGGCTGCAAATAGCTGATCACTGTGAGCTGACTCACTCAGAGCTGATCCACAGTTGCTGCCACTTCATTGACCACACATGCCTCAATCCAGATTGCCTGGGGGCTCACACACGGGTCTCTTGAAAAATGGCTGCACTTCTGCCTTTTGCTCCATACAATCCAACCTCTGAGACATGGGACTCCTACCTTGCTCATTTCGACTCCATCCTTGAAGCCAATGACTTTGCTGAGATCACTGACAACAGGAAGAAGGCACTTTTCCTAAACCTCTGTGGCCCAGAGACCTTTGAGATGGCCAGGGCTCTCCTCACTCCACTGGCCATTCAGTCTGCACCATGGGATGTGCTGCAGAACAAGCTACAGACTCACTATGTGCCCAAACCTTTGTGAATTGCACATCAGCACACCTTCCATCATCAGCATCAGGCTGAAGGTGAATCCATCAACAAATATGTTGCCGCCCTTTGACAAGCAGCCCTATATTGTGAATTCAAGGACTTAGATGATGCTATGTTGGACAGGGTGGTCTGTGGTGTGAGGGACATCAAGCTACAGTGGCGCCTCCTTGCAAAAACATACCTCACCCTGCAGATGATGCTCAGTGAGGCACAAGCAGCTGAGATGTCCAATCAATCAACAGCTGAGATTCAAAAATCAAGCAGCCCACCAGCATCATAAAAACCAGTCACAGTGCACCATGAAGATGCTAACCATGGTGAATCAGCAGATGAGGATGATGCCATCTATTGCCTTAAATCTTCCAAGGGAAGGAATGCGGCCATAGAAAGGCAACCAGCATGTACTGGTTGTGGCGGCAATAACCAGCAAATGGCGTATACGTTCAAGAACACCATTTGTCAAAGATATGAAAAGAAATGACATTTGACCAGGGTCTGTCATGCAAACCAACTGACAGCTACCACTGCAAGCCCAGAAACTTGCCCTAAAAGAATGCAGAAAAGACAACATGGAGAGGACTGCTTCACTGTCTCCAAAGGCACTTGCAAAGCAGAAGCAGTCATTGGTCAAGCCAGCCTCTCCTCTTGCAAGAAAGTCCATGTCACCGTCCTGATAGAGGGGTCCCCTTGCTGCATGGAGGTGGACATGACATCTTCAATGACCATTGTCTCTTGGAGCACACAAAAGAGATTGATGCCCAAAATCTCAAAAAGACCATTGGACTTCCACCATATTAGTCTCTGAGACTACCAGGGAACAGCATTCCTGTTGTTGGAGTAGGCACCTTTAGAGTATCTTTCAAGGACTTCTTGGGGCCACTGCAACTGCTCATAATGGATGGCTCCCTTCCGAGTCTCCTAGGACTGGACTGGTTCTCCTCTCTAGGTCTGGGAATCACTGATATCAGTTCCATCAATGACTCTGATATCAAGGCCTTAACCTCTGATTTTGCACATGTTTTTGATGGGAACTTGGGCAGGTATATGGGCACACCCATCTCATTCAACCTTGACCCCCAGGTTGTTCTGATCCAAATGAAGGCGCGAAGAGTATCATTTGCCTTGCACTCAAAAGTTGATGAGCAATTGGACAAGCTCATCAGCCAAGGAATTCTGGAACCTGCTGACCATGCAAAATGGGAGATCCCAATTGTGACCCCTGTGAAGCTGGATGGTTCTGTCTGTATCTGTGCAGACTATAAAGGTATATTAAATAAAGTGCTACAGCAAAATGCATACCTGTTGCCTGTGGTCCAACATCTACTGCACTCTCTGGGTGAGGGTAAGTTTTTGCTAAACTGGACCTTGCCAAAGCCTCTTCACTACATATTCATACAACAGGACAGCTTTATCATGACAGCCATTCGAATGGACAGTGAATTGCCTCAGCTTCCAATCGTGCTCCACCTGGATGGGGAAGCCACTACCGCCAGGCTTCAGTAGGTTGAGTGGAGCCATCTGTGCCATGGAGGAACCCCCCACCTCATGCCTTCCACCCCCTCTTCGCCGCCACCAGCTGCTTCGCCTTTGTCCACTTGTGGTGGGGAAGGGCTCAGAGGGGAGCCTGGGTAGGGGGAAAGAGAGCATGGAATATGGGGGTCCATCACCCCCAATCTTGATCAAGCAGTCGTTGCAGGCCAGCTGCCAGGAGAGCGATCTGTTCAGTTATCCAGCCAGGAAACTTCATAATGGGAAGAGTAGAGTGGGAAACCCTTGCAGCTGTGAAGTTCGCACTCAGCGACAGGAGCCAAAGCAACCTTCCACACACCAGATTTTTGGAATTTGGAAAGAAAGCATTTTTGGGTGGCAGTGCCACAATTCCCTCCCCTTCGTTTCAGAGCCGCTGCCTTCTGCACGCCCCATTTTTGAAATCGGGGAGGGAATCACTGCTCAGCCTCCCGCTTCTCCAGATGACCCAGATGGAGGTTGGTCAGCTTCTGCTCCTGGCCTGACGGATCTGGCCAGGAGGAAAGAGAAGAAGGAGCTTTTTTCCCTTTCCATTCCAAAAATGTGGCATGCAGAATCAGCTCCAACTGAGGCAGCAAAGGTGCAGGGGCTTGCTGGGAACGGGAGATGGATCTGGCCAGGAGGAACGCATACCCTGCTTTTGCAATTGAGGAGGAAAAAGAGTGTTTCAAGCGACAGGCGGTTCCAGGCTGTAGGGATTGCGGTGCAGCCTGGAACAGCCCGCTGCCTGAAACACTCTTTTTCCTCCCAGATTGCAAAAATGGGCCATGTGTTCCTCCTGGCCAGAGCCATCTCTTGGGTCAGGAGAAGAAGCCGACTGCCCTCTGCCTGGGTCATCTGGAGGAGTGGCAGGTGAAGCAGATGCTGTGTGAAAGGTTTAAGGCAAGGCGGCTCGCCATTCTGCCTACCCCTTCTCCAGATGAATCTTCTGCTCCTTCTCTAGATGATGCTTCTGCTCCTGGCCCAGGAGATGGATCTGTGATCTTCACAGCTTGGAACCACCCATCTTCTGAAACTCTTTTTCCTCCAACTGCCCTTCATCTCGGTCATCTGGAAAAGGGGCAGATGAAGCAGGTGCTGCACAGGAGGCATAAGGCCCACCACTTGGCCTTCCACTTCTCCAGACAACCCAGGCGGAGGGCGGTCAGCTTCTGCTCCTGGCCTGGGAGACAGATTTGTCCAGGAGGAACACACGCCCCATTTTTGCATTCAGAGTATAAGACACGGTTGTACCACAAAACCGCGGACG